AAGGGCCCCATTAGCTGAGTGATATTCATTGATTGCCACACAAAACATCCACGGCAAACATGGCAATGAGATGCAACTGAATGCAGTTGAGAGGGAATCTCAGGCGTTTGCTATTTTGCTTTTTGCTTCTATCAAAGTCTTTATAATACTTCAGAAAACAGGCAAAAATAAACAGCATTACTTGTAAGGAATAAAAATGAGCTTTTACTTGGGCTGCTGCAGGAAATGGAAAAACTCCCTTCCCGCCTACCCCTTCCTGCCCCTGTCCGCACAGCAGCTCAAAAACACAGGTGTGCACTCTGCGTTTCTCTGCTGGATGGGCGCAAACACCACCCCCCACTCCGCAAGAACCGGGTAAATGGCCTTCAGGATCTTGTGGCATCTAGCTCAGATCTCCTTTTGGACATCAAATTTTGTCGATGGTCAGTACCCTGAGGCCTTTCAGGGAACTGTCACTGACACCTCAAATCTCAAGCCTGTCTGATATCTCTGTGTGTTGGCCAAAATCCTCATTCTTGTATGTCTTTGTCAGTTGGGCACCTGTCAAAGGCAGGGTGATATTACAGTGTCCCTAATGAGGACCAGGGACCAGTGGGTTCTTCTGTGTGTGTCCATCATGGAAAGCAATGCTCACAGCTACTTGGCCCAGTTTATGTCACTCATATGGGAGGTTTGGTGTTTTTTGTTTGTTTGTTTAGAAAATGCCTTTGACATATCTAAAAAGGGTGACAAAGGAAAAAATCACTTGTTTCCCTATGAGAAAAGAATAAAGTGAGAGAGGAATTTGCTTTGTTCTGTTCCCCAGAGGACGGCTGGAGGGTGGGGGATCCCAGGATAGAACTGGAGGCAGTATGCAGCCTTCTTCTTCACGGCTGGCTGGATTTGCTTATGAGTCTCTCCACCAAGTCAGCCTGACCACAGCCAAAGCCCTGCCACACAGCTCAGGTGCTCCTGTGTACATGGGCCATACTTGTTGTGTCTCTCACATGTCTAGGGTGCAACTGCCCACACTGGCTGGATGCTGGCTGGGACCCTTGACATAGGCTCTGTGTGTGCTCTTGGAGACATGCAGTGGCAGCTGTGTCTTCCACATCACCATACAGGTGTTCTGCGGTACATATGACCCAAACCTGAGCAGAACTAAGACAACCGATATTGCTAGCTTGGTTCTTCACTGGATCCAAGGTGATCACAGGCCTTGGGTTTCTTTTTATTTTTCTCTCTTCCCTTTCCTTCCCTTCCCTTCCCTTCCCTTCCCTTCCCTTCCCTTCCCTTCCCTTCCCTTCCCTTCTCCCCTCCCCTCCCCTCCCCTCCCCTCCCCTTCCCTTCCCTCCCCTTCCCTTCCCTTCTCCCCTCCCCTCCCCTTCCCTTCTCCCCTCCCCTCCCCTTCCCTTCTCCCCTCCCCTCCCCTTCCCTTCTCCCCTCCCCTCCCCTTCCCTTACCTTCCCTCCCCCCTCCCTTCTCCCCTCCCCTCCCCTCCCTTCCCCTCCCCTTCCCTTCTCTTTCTTTCCCTTCTTTCCTACTTTTCCTCTCTCTCTCTCTCTCTATATATATATATATATACATCTATATATAGATGTGTATATATATGTATATATATATTTATATATACATCTATATAGAGATGTATATATATGTATATATATATACATATATATATGTATGTATATATAACACTGAGGATTGACCCTAGAACCTTTGCAATGAGCTAATCACCAGCCCTTTACTCTTTTCTACTTTTTATTTTGATACAAGTTCACACCAAATCACCAAGTTTGCCCAGGCTGGGTTGGATCTCAGCTTCTCCAAGTGCCAGGATCACAAGCTCATCCAAACCTGCCACATCACTTCTCACTTAACAAAATTCACTCTCCTGTCCCTGGCTGCTGCTTCTGCTGCCACTGACTCTGGAGACCCCAGCCTGCTCTGATGCAGTTCTTTGGGGCAGATTTCCTTTGCTCTTGTGAAGTGGACACTGGAGGAAGAAAAAGCCCTCCTAAAGATGGGTTTGCATGGACTATCAGACTCAGGCAGCTGATCTCGGATGGAGCTTTGCAGTTTCCACCGGAGCTGGCACTCTTTCTCACCCATGTCTTGCTGGGAGTTGCAACCCTCTGCTTGGTGGCCCCAGCTAGGGCCACCAGCCTCACTGCCACCACTGTTCATCAGTGATATCAGTGACAAATAGACAGTCATCTGGGCTGCTGGCTAGGCAGGAAGCTGTCCTGGGTCATGTGCTGACATTCAAGATCCTTTGTTCAGAAAGACCCAGACCCAGATCTCCCGCTGCTGTGTGTCACTTCTGTCAATGTTGACTGTCCTGTGCAACTAGTCTGGGCCCCGTTGTGGGCTAAAAAGGGGTCAGCTCTGTCCCATGCAGAAATTAGAGGCCACAAAGATGGGCAAGGGGCAGGGGAAAGAGAAGAAAGGGGCATAGAGGAAAAAAAGAGGAGAAGATGGGTGGTAGGGGAGGAGGAGCATCCCCTCCCTGCACCTGGGCTGGGTGAGTGGCATCTGTCTGCTACAGTCCCTGGGAGCTAACCTGTGGCCCCTTTATTCATTCATTTGATCCCCTGCTGGCCCCGTGAGAAGTGACTCAACAATGCTGAACAAAGTAACGCTTGCATGTGATATTTAGCATGTTTGGGTGAACCATCAAAACGCAACCATCTCAGAATTACACTAACAACTTTTGTTTTAACACAAAAGCAAAAGTCTGCCTTTGAATGAAGTCCAGCACTATCAATGGCCCCAGGTGCCCAGTGAATGACCACCAGGTAAGGACTCAGTGTGTTTCAGGGTAACAGCTGCATCAGCATCTGTGTCGATCTGATTTTGGACCATTCATTTGGGCCTTAGAGAAACCTCAGGGTTTCCTGCTGTATTTCTAGTCTAGCATTCTACATGGCAGGGGCTGTCAGAGGGGCAGAGGGATGCACAGAACATGCTCCCAGGCAGGGAAGTGATATAGGTGCCCAAATCCAGCATTGGCAAGTACAACTGGAACAAATCCTTGAAAGTTATTTCAAAGAACAGTCCCTGCTCCTACTACATTGGCATCACTCATAAGTTAGGGGCAAGATGGCCAGTTCCCTGCAAGCTGGAATCCCATTGGTGTGTTCTCGAGGGTCAGAGGGTGACACGGCAGTTGGGTTCACCTCACTGTATTCAGGTCAGAGCTTCTCACCTCTGGAAGTGCACTATGGGCTGGTGGGGTGGAGCTGAGCTTAGATTTGGGAGTCTGGGTTTAGAGTCTGACTGCAGAAGGTTAAATATTTGTAGGATCATTGCAATTTCCTGTGTTAGTCAGCTTTGTGGTACTGTCACAAAACCCCTGAGAAAATCAACTTATAAAGAAGGAAGGTGGTTTGTGATGGCTCACGGTTTCAAGATCTCAGTCCCATGTTGCTTTGGGGTGTGGGCTGTGGTACCTCACAACAGAGAGCACGGTGTGGTGTGGTGTAGGAGCCACACTGCTCACCACGTGGCTAACATGGAAAAAATAAAAGGAAAAGAAGAGAGGCTACGATCCCATCATCTCTTTTAAAGGCTCAACCCAGTGAGAACCAGATCCCCGGCATCTACACCTTCAGAAGATTTTACCACACCCCAGTAACAGCCTTGACAAGAGATAAAGCCTCGGGGGACCCACGGCTACAGGCCTAATGATCCCTGCATATTTCCTTTCCCTGTGCTTGCACTTAACCCTGAAAATAAAAGCTTAAAAGTACACGTGGCCTTATTTTGGCGCTAGGGCACATGGCTATAATCCCAACACTCTGGGAAACCAAGGCAGGAGGAAAAAAGTGAAAATTCAAGCCCAGACTTAGGGAGATCCCATCTCAAAGTAAAAAATAAATAAAAATCAAAAGAGCTGAGGATTCAACTCAAAGTTTCTTTTCTTTTTGTCTTTTTGAGACAGGGTGTCACAATGCAGTTGAGGCTGGCCTTGGGCTCACTTTGTAGCCCAGGCTGGTCTCAAATTTGCAATGATCTTCCTGCCTCAGCCTCCTGAGTGCTAGGATTACAGGTGTGTACCACCACACTCAGTGATAAAGGTTCTTGATTCAATCCCCAGACCTGCAAAAGGAAGAAAGAGAGAGAGAAAAGGAGGCAGAGTGAGAGACAGAGAGAGACAGAGAGAGACAGAGAGAGAGACAGAGAGGGAGAGAGACAGAGAGAGAGAGACACAGAGAGAGACAGAGACAGAGACAAAGGAAAGAAAGGAAGGAGGGAGGGAGAAAAGAAGAAAGGAAGAAAGGAAGCGGAGAGAAGAAGAGAGAGAGAGAAAAAGATAGGAAGGTAGGAAGGAAGGATAAAAGGAAAAGGCCTTTTGGGAAGAAAACTGAATACCTAAAATGTTAAGCAACGATGAAGGAAAAGCTCCGAAGCCTGCCACAGCCCCTGGGGCAGGATAGGTATGGAACAGAAGAGTGTGGAGACACAGGCTGAGGCCCAGGTAAGAAGAGCTACTGGGAACAGGGTTTTTCCAAAGAGGAACTTGCAACATCCCACCTGAGTCGTGCCCTGTCTTTTATTCTTGGACGTGAGACTTTCTAGGCAGAAGGACACAGGTCTCCCCACTCCAGTCCTCGATGACAGGTACCAGGAAGGACTCAAGCAGAGTGAGTCTGGACCATGATGATGAGGGCAGACCCTAAATCTCAGTTGGAGACTCAATGGAAGCACACTCACTGTGTCCGCAGGGCTTGTCGCTGCAGGAAGTGCAGTTCCACCCTCACCAGTGAGGTGACACAGAAGAGAAGGGAGCTGTTGGCCCAACAGCGCCCCCCACCGGCCGGCGGGTGCAGAGCTGACACCCCACACCCCTTCACCTTCCCCCAGCTCAGCTGCACCTGCAACTGTGTAGGAGTATTTTTCCCCTCTTGTGGATTTGGTTACCGAAAAGAACTTTTGATGACGACCACATCCTTTTACTGAGTATCAGGAAAGTTTATTAAAAATGGCTCAGAGAACACAATAAAACCCCCAGCGATCTGATTCAAATGCTTTGAATCTCCTGCCTCTCTCACCCAGTTATAAACACACCTTTACAATCAGCACGGCTTCCCCGCCTGAAAGAACGTCTGGGAAAGAGATAAGATAAGCAGGCAGTGGCGGATGACAAATCTGGACATGTATAGGATTCTTTTCAAAAGATAAGCTCAATTCTGTTTCACAGTAGAGGAAAGCCAGCATCATCGCTGGACTGCATGTGCCTGGCTGCTGGAACCATTCTGAGAAAGCCACCAGGAACAGATTTCTCAAAGGGGACAAACAGCATTCAGTCCTTCTGCTTCAGTTCCAGTTTCACTATGAGGAGGATATGCACGCTTTTGTGCTAGAGACCGATAAAGTCGCTCTTTCTCCCTCTCCCTTCCCTTCATGAAGGGTAAGTATCCCTGAAATGTTAGTTTGGATGGCACTGGCCCTGAATGTTGTTGAGAGCTGCCTGAGCCTGTACAAGGTGCCCTCTCTGGTCCCTGCAGACTTTTGCAGTGACTTTTGCAGTGACCTTTGCAGTGACCTCTGTCTCAGTGGCCCAGGTACCCTGTGTCTCCCCTAGGCATGGGAGCCAGGTGAATCCAGAGTGTGTTTCTCTCAGTTGTCAGTGTGTCTGCAGCACAAAGCCTGCTAGCTGGACTTGGCTGACTTGGCTCATGGTCAGTGTTTGTTAATGAGCAATGTACAAAGTTCTCTTGCCTGGAGAACTTAGTCTACAGGGCCGAGGAGGAAATAAAAGAGACAGATACAGAAATAATGAATTCAATATAATCCAAACCTGTGTCCAGCATACCATGGAATATAGAAGGGCCCAGAACCATAGCAAGTGCCCCTGGGTCAGCTGATGAAAGGAGAAGACCCAACATGGTGAGTAGGGGTGGCTGTGGCGATGGGTGGGGCAGGCAATGTGGCAAAAGACTAAAAGGTACCCCTAGCAGAGATATGCATGTATGGTATTAAAAGAACAGGGGCTGGAGGTTTAGCTCAGCGGCATAAGCACTTGCGTTGCAAGCAGGCAGTCGTGAGTTCGATCCCCGGTACCGATAAAAAAAAAGGAAAAAGACAAAAAAAAAAAAAAAAAGAACAGAGGGTGGGCTTCTACAGCATAGGGTTTTTGCTTGCTTAGCTGTTAATAACTAGGTTAGGTTATCAGGGATGCAGATGCTACTCCATCCAAGAGACCAAGGGTCAGAACTAGTGCACCTGTACCACTCAGGGAATGGCAAAGACAGACCAGCTGCTCATAGCTACGGCACTGGCTATGAGGCACTGGAGAAGCAATTCCTTATCTGTAGAGTGGACATGATGATGCCTACTCCAGATATTTGCTTCAAATAATAAACTAGAAAACAATCTTAAATTTTAGTATCCTGTAGAGGATGCTGTTTTCATTCTCTTTTTTCTACTTCCTTTTAGTTTTCTTTCTGTAATGGTTCAACTTCACTATGCCAACTTGCTTTGGGAGCAGCCAGTAAGGCAGGAAAGCTCACTCCTGGGTGTATCTGGGTGGTCACAAAGGTGTTACCCTGGCATCGACATCTGGTCTCTCCCTGTTTCTCTGAGGTACTATCCCTCCCTACTCTGCTTGCTAGTGGCCATAAATTGAGCAGGTGGCAAAATTCTGATGGTCCTGCCTGGGAGCTACTGACCAGGGACTGAAACTCCTGAAACCATAAGCCTAGACAAACCTCTGCTCTTCAGATTGTGGGTTTTGACTATGGTTCCCATCCACAGGGCAGCCTACTGATGCACTTTGTGATTTCTAGTCTCACCCACTGCATCTTCCATCCTTGGATACTTTACTTCCCTCCCTGCCTTGCTACCAGGTCTGTACTGAGCGCACACTCAGGCAGTCAGAGTCCTTTTCCTTCCTGCTGTAGATCTTTTCTGCATCTGAAGCTCCCTTATCCACCGTGGCCTTCCTGGGGCTGCCAGGATGGCTGGTGGCTGTATGAGCTTCTCTGTGACACTCTGTCTCCTGAGTCCCAGTGTGTGCTTCCCAACACAATCTTTAAACCATACATCTTTATGTTTCCCATTCTTAGCAGCAAACAAAGCTTGACAAATGTTTGCTGCTGAGGAAACAGCCATTCTCCAGCCAGAATGTCAGAGTCACAGTGCCCGGGAAGGCTGACTGCTCTTCATGTGGTGGGTGATCTCGCTGGAGCTGCTGGAGAACGCAAGTCAGTAAGCAGGAAAGATGAGCACCAGTTCCACCAACATCTCCCTATGCAAAAAAACATTATTTTAAGAGAAATATTTTTTCCTACTCCTGGTGATCGGCAGGGACATCAGTATTTATACATCATCCACCAAATGTTTGGTTCTTTGTTTTATACAGATGATCTCATTTGATCTGGATTCTACAGAAGTGATTTGCTGTAGACTGATGTTTTTGTCTCCCCTCCCTGCCAAGCCTACATGCTGGAGTCCCATTCTCTAATGTGATGGCATTGGGAAGACAGGTATGGGGTGGTGGGCATGTCCTGAGGGTGCAGCCCCAACACAGGATTCGTGCCCTTAATACTCATCTCTCTGTCATGTGAAGACACAAGACCTCACTGGAGCCAGACAATATTGGCAGCCTGATCTCTGTCTTATAATCTCCAGAAGTATGAGAAGTAGATTGCTTGAGCCACCTAGTCCGCATTACAGCAAGATGAACTGGCTACGATATTTTTTCAGAAAGCCAATGAAAATCTATGCCAGGGAAATACATGTGAGGAAGTCATGATTTACGAGGAACCCAGTGCATCTGCAAAATGGAAGTTGCAATGTGTTAATGGGATTGTCTTCCATGATCGTGGAGCAAGGAATGACCTCCAAATCTCAGAGACACAAACAACGGGGCTTATTTCTTGCCATGCTATGTAATAGCTTGGGTTATCTGTGCATTCTCTGTGTCTAGCTCAAATTTGATGATAATGATGTTTGTCAAATTATCAGTGAAGCATCTGGGTCACCACTGAGACATTACTACCTGAGAGAAGACTAGATGAATAGGTACATTTCTTTCTGCAAGAAGCTCACACCAGTGACACTGAATGGTCCAAGTGTGGAAGATGCTCTCAAAATAATTCTATACTAATTAAATTATGAGTTAATTGAATCTTATGGTGGCCGGCATGATAGTCTTACTGAGCCAGATTTGATCAGGCTGTTGTTAGTCTTGAAATTACTTATATAAAATCAAGAACAAATATTTCCTATCTTTTCCAGAGTCTTCTGTGAACTTTCCGTGACAGTGTGTACCCCACTACCTGTGGTCCCCCTACAGACTCCTTTACTACGTCTCCAAGACCTTCCAAGTGGAAAATTATGTGGTAGGCATGAAAAGGCTGTTTGGTATCTTCTGTCTGGTATGTTACTGTTTGGGCCTCCAGACCCATTTCACAGGGAATGGCTCAGACAACCCCTCCATGTAGCACTTGTCACCCTGTGCAGGCCCCAGAGCTCTTGCCTGTCACGTGCAGTATTGTTTCTTCCAGACTCAGCTGCGCCAGCAGTGTCATACATGCTTTGATGCAGAGCATGGTGCTGGCTGTATTTCCACTCACCCTAGGAAATGCATGGCTGATGGGAGATGACCCAAAATATTGAAGGAATGGAAGGAAAGACAAAGTGTGAAGGAAACCTACCATGAATCCTTGATAACAGCATCACTGGAATGATTTTATTATTCTAGCTACCGTCACCTGACTGCCTAGCTCTGCTGTGTGCTTCACTAGGATTTTGCACGTATCATGGCATTGACTCCACAAGTCACCTTCAGATGAATAGTGTGTACCTTACTTCTCTCCACACTTTTTTAAACATAGGGATCCTTGATTGGCAAAACAAATGTGAAGGGCAGTTGTGAAGACTGAGTAATGAGCAAATTAGTCACTATAATTCTTATTATTTTCATCAACTCCTGTACAGCTCTCTTGAATTTATTGGTCCAGGTTTGCCGTGCTTAGTGACATTCCTTGCATGGAGTTGGCACATGTGCGTAATACATCTTAGTTCCTCCTTCCTTCCTCTCCCTTCTCTTCCTTGCTCCCTCCCTCCTTCTCTTCAGTCTCTTCCCATCTGAGAAAGGTCTACCTTTCTACTTCCTAGTTTCATCTTTTATTTCATTCTTTGTTCATACCTTGGGTTTCTCTTACAAGAGAAGCCAGGTGATATTTAAGCTTGTGTGTCTGATTTATTTCACTTGACATTGTGATATCATTAAGCTACACAGCCATGAAATAAATATCAACTAAATGCACAGCGAGATAATGACTATAATAACTCTCCTTGCTACGGTACACAGATATGGTTACATATTTGTTAAATAGACCTTGCGCTTGTTTGCTATTCTGATATTCCCAAGGGTCCCAGTGATATTGTCATATATATATGGCCAAAATATGTATGAAAATATATATAACAAATATATAAAATTATATAAAATATATATAACAAATATATAAAACTATTAAAACTATTTTTCAGAGGTATAAATGTATACAGTATATTTTTCAATATTTTATACAACATATTTTTCAATACATATATAAGCATTTTTCACAAAATTTTACTCACAGAAAGTATGGTATTTTTGCATCTTTACACATCTTTGGCAATTTCAAAGTTTAATGGTAATGATTTATTCATAATTAAAGATTATTATTTGCTAATTAAATGATCATAGCTATAGTGTATTTTTAGGTTTCTAAGTTGAACAACTTTTAAAACTATCCCTTGAGAATTTGTATTTCTCATTGTAAAAATCTTTCTGTTGGGTGTGCTTTTATTGTTATAATTCTGTTTTTTGCATGTATCTTGGACATTTATTTTGCAATTTTATTCACCTATTGCCGTTTAACTTTGTATACGATATTATTGACACATAGATGGGTTTTTAAAAATATAATGCATTCCATCCCTGTGCACTTGGTATTACACTTACAAATGATAAAACAATTTAATTTCAGATTCGGGGATACCAAAAGCTACACCAGGGGAGAATTATGACATACTTTCTTTTGAGCAGGAGCTTTAGTTATTTATCTAGCTTGGGCTGCAACAAGGGGCAGTGATTTGAAGATGCTTAGGACATGGACAGATATAGAAGGAAGAGCCATGGATAGGGGCTTGGTTAAAGGTGACCACCAGCTCTACAGACAGGAAGAATGAAACTAGTTACTTCAGATGTCGCTGACCCTTAACCATAATTATGTGTTTTACCCTTTGTCTGAGAAACACCTGATTTGAGCACTTCCTATGCAGTTTATCTGGCTAAAATGCTAGCTCCTTACAACTTCAAGAACTAATAATATGGGACTAGATATCTGAAAATTTCTATTTTGACTTTGGGCCTCAACTTTTTTTCATTTCTCTGCAAAGAGGTAACATTTATCCACACCTGCCATTGTGATCTGTGAGCTTTCCAAAATGCACACTTTACATGAATTTGCACACACAGTGCGATTCTGCGTTTCAGGTGACTTCAGAGTATGAGGACAGCTGGTTGTGGGTCACCTCTCTGCAGACCAACAGAGAACACTGCTCTTAGAGAGCACAGGTGTAACAGTGCGATTGAAGAGATCTGATCGGAGAACAAGACTGCCAAAACTAACCTCTGACCCTTGTGGCCCTGAGCAGTTACTTGAACTCATCTTGCATTTCTCCTACTCACACTAGGATAGTGTCGTGGTCCAGTTAATTAAGAACTGCCAGGTGCTACATGCACAGTCACTGTGGGTAACACACAGTGACTTCCAGCCTTACCAAAGTAGAAAGGGTATGATCTGTTGGGAGCCGCAGCCCCGAGCCCGGTCGCCTCACTTGGCGGACGTGAGGCCTGTAGTAAAGAGTGAGGCCTGAGGTAGATTACCCCTCCCATCGAATATGTTAGTTTCCTGCTTACCGCGTAAACAACCCGCTCAACAATATAGTCTGCCTGGCAACTGATGATGTTAGCCAATCAGCTTGCCTTGCTTACTTTAACATGATTGGACACTGTACCCGTATATATACCGGTGCCACCCCTGGGCGGAAGTAGAAGCCAGATAGAAGCCCGGAAGTAGAAGCCCAAAAGGAGCCGCGGAGAGCGGACCGGTAGAGGCTTTGGGGCAGGCTGAAGCACAAAAGGAGCCGCGGGGAGCGGACCAAAGGAGGCTTCAGCTGGGAGAACCCAGGGCAGGCTGTACGGAGAAGGAAAATAAAAAGAAAAGGTTGTCCACTACCAGACTTTGTCGTGTGTCCTTCCTGCCGGCCGGGAGCGGACATCGACATTTGGTGGCCCGTACGGGGACTGATCACCCCCGCGACGTGGAAGTGGACAACGCTCCAGTACAGAGCTGCGAGACAGGTGAGTTGGGGATAAGCCTGGGCTCTGGGTGGCGCGCACCTACAGGGCTTTTAGACTCCCCTCAGGCTCACGCGTAAGTGGCGGATTCCTTGGGCCTCACGCGGTGAGTAACATATTAAAAGATGGGAAACATGTTAGGTAGCAACACTAAGAGCGAGGGTGGTTGTGGAGAAAGCTCTCAAGAGCTTACAAAAGTACGCAGGGTATTTGAGCAGGCCCAGTCAGGGAGCTCCCGAGAGGTGTCTGTCAAGGGGAACAAGGATGCTAAGGAGGAGGACGGGGCTCTAGCCTCGGAGTCGTCTGACTCTGAGGACGAGGGAAAGTTGAATGGCAAGGAGGCCAAAGAGACCAGCTGTCAGGAGCCTAAGTCGCTCAATAAGGAGTCGCAGGGTTCTTTTCCAGCGTTGCCCCGCGAATTGCGCTCTGCTCAACCTGGTCTGCGGAGGAGTAGAGAGCTCCTGAGCGCTCCCCGGCGCGAGAGGGAGGCGATCCCTCGCCACGAGGCGGCCGCCTGGGAGCTCTCTCCCCTTTCGCCAGAACAGGAAGTGATGCATGGGCCCCCATTTTCCGCCCAATCACGGCCGCTGTCTTATGCTCCGCCGCCGGCGGGTCGGTATTTTTACAGGCGGCTTTGGCAGGGGGGACGCTTGTCTCATGAGGTACATCCACCTGGGATAGATAGTGGCCCCTACGAGATATTTCCTGTACAAGTAGCTATGGGCCAGGGACGCAATGTATGGGAGCCTTTTGAGATAAAGCAGATTAGAGAACTTAAAAATGCAGTTACAACCTTTGGGCCGACTGCGCCTTACACCATTGCCATGCTGGAGAATCTGTCTTCTGGGCCCCTCACCCCCGCGGACTGGATTCAGCTGGCAAAGGCGTGTCTGCCCTCAGGTAGTTACCTGGATTGGCGAGCCTGGTACACAGAGTTCTCTGCAGAGCAGGCTGAGAGAAACGCCAATCGGGGAAACCGGGGGTGGAACAAGGAAATGCTTATGGGAGAAGGTCGGCACGCTGATGACCAGACCCAGTTCCCCGGCGCTCTCTGGCGGGGAGGAGATAGAGAGCCATCCGCTCCGCCCTGGAGCTCTTCTCCAGAAGCGGCTCCCCACCGAGAGGCCGCTACAGGGAACCCTCCCTTCTCTCAGCCGGCACAGGAAGTGACGCCCCGTTCCACTCTGTCGCGACCGCCGTCCTATGATTTTCATGGGCGGCTACTCTGCCGAGCAGGCTGAGAAAAACGCCGGTCGAGGAAACGGGGGCTGGGGATTTAGCTTAGCGGCATAAGCGCCTGCCTTGTAAGCAGGCAATCGCCAGTTCGATCCCTGGTACCAATAAAAAAAAAAAAAAAAAAAAAAAAAAAAAACGAAAAAGATAAAAATAAAAAATAAAAAACAAAAAGGGGGAGTAAGCCAAGGCCTGCCTCCAAAGGCGCGGTTATCTATGGCATGACAATGGATGGGCCCGGATCCGGTAATCAGCTGGAACCGAGGCGCGGTTTGTGTTTTCCCACAGGAATCGGGACGAGAACCACTGTGGATACCGGAGAGACTGACACGGGCAATAAAGCCCTCGACTGAAGATCAGACCTGCCCTACTGGAGATCCATCACAGACCAACCAATAAGATGAATAGAAATAGCGGTAGCCCGAAATGGACAAGAAGATCCTCAGGCATATGCATGGCTCGCTCGCCTAGCCTACGACCGAGTCTAGGGACGGTGAGCTTCCCACACTCCTCCTCTAAAAAATTATGATATAGCAGGGTAGGTGAGTCAATGACGGGTAAGAGCGTGCCTCCCCAGCACGACTCGACCTAAGCCAGGCCCTACCCCATCCTGCACGTAAGCCGCTGGACTGTTAGATGCTGCCCAGGTCTAAATTTCTCTCCGAGGGGATTTCTTTACGGAGAGGAAATGAGTGCAAGCTTGTGTGCATCCAGGTTCCGTCCAGTTTGTGCCTGGCCCTAGAAAAAGGACGAGGGCCTCAGGGCCTTGGCAGACCATGGGACGGCCGACCAGGGTCTAAGCCAAGGACCTACGGTGGGCCTACACATAGGGCATAAGCCTCTGCACCCAGTCCAGGAAGGGCTACGATGCGCACATTCATAAAAAATAAAAAAGGGGGAGATGTTGGGAGCCGCAGCCCCGAGCCCGGTCGCCTCACTTGGCGGACGTGAGGCCTGTAGTAAAGAGTGAGGCCTGAGGTAGATTACCCCTCCCATCGAATATGTTAGTTTCCTGCTTACCGCGTAAACAACCCGCTCAACAATATAGTCTGCCTGGCAACTGATGATGTTAGCCAATCAGCTTGCCTTGCTTACTTTAACATGATTGGACACTGTACCCGTATATATACCGGTGCCACCCCTGGGCGGAAGTAGAAGCCAGATAGAAGCCCGGAAGTAGAAGCCCAAAAGGAGCCGCGGAGAGCGGACTGGTAGAGGCTTTGGGGCAGGCTGAAGCACAAAAGGAGCCGCGGGGAGCGGACCAAAGGAGGCTTCAGCTGGGAGAACCCAGGGCAGGCTGTACGGAGAAGGAAAATAAAAAGAAAAGGTTGTCCACTACCAGACTTTGTCGTGTGTCCTTCCTGCCGGCCGGGAGCGGACATCGACAATGATCTACTGCTTTTATTCTACCATCTCCTTGCCTAAATGTTGCCCTCATAAATTTGAATAAAATAATGCCTACATTGTCACTAGTTCTAAGAAGTAAATGGTACTGTGTATATTTCACACAAATCCCAAATGGATTCTGTGTCTTGTCCTACCATCCACTGTGCAGGTCTAAATAACCTGGTTCTTCATTCCAAGATACTGATTTCATATTTCCTCCAAGTACTCAAACCTTCAGCAGTAACCTGTCTTGTACTCAGGAGCAATAACCTCATTTCTTATTTCACTGCTAAAGCAGAAACAATGAAATGAGAACACTAACATCCTTTTTACATCCAAACCACCAGTCTATGTATTACTTTCCACTACTTTCATTCATCAAGTTTACCATGGGTTTTTATCATGAATGAGGTATCTCTACCCCTCTGCAGGGGTGGCACCTTCAAATATTACATAAACTGGATCTGAAGGTGCCTAATGGAGGATCTTGCTTCTTTATTCATTTTGCTCTCTTTTCAATCACTGTTTTCATCAAGATTCCTCCTTGCTAAATATTCACACACACACACACACACACACACACACACACACACACACACACACACACATTCTCACATGCTTTCCTTCACCCTACAAGCTCTTTTGTAGGGTCTGTGCATTTTCCTGCATATGTCATCTACACAGAAAACATTCAGCCCAGCCATTACCCAAGCCACCATCAAACTGGGGCTGGGAATAGATGATTCCTCACTGATCTCTATGATTTCATGCTTGGGCCTCTCAAGCATATGCTCTAAAGATCAGCAAATGATCTGTTTCTTTTTTCCAAAAATTTTAACAGTATTAAAATATATCCAGCGTACAATCCAGCTTCACTATTTCTGAGGGTGTGGTTCAGAGACACAGTATATTTACACTGTCATGCAACCATTACTGCCATCAAATCCAAGAGCTGCTCAACATTACAAACTCAAACTCTGTTCTTTAAACATGAACCTCCATGCCCGCTCCAGTCTAATTTTTGTGTTTGAAAATTTGGCTACTTTAGGAACATCCTATGCAAGGGAACATATAATTTGTCTTTGAGGAACTAGTTTTGTTTCTATTTTCCACTTACCTTATGTCTCAAGGTTCATCTCTGGTTTTGTATGCATCAAAATTTTCCTTCTTCCTCAGGATCCTATTGTCTATCTCTGCCATATTTGTTTATGTGTACATCTTTGAGTGGACTTTTAATTTGTTTCCACTTTGTAGTTATTAGGAGTCTGATTGCTATAATCATGAATGCACAAATACCTCTTTGAGAACATGCTTCTAATTTCTGTGTGCCTATGACACAAAGTAGGATTTTGGATCATACTATAATTCTATTTTTTGAAGTACTTCTTTTCCTTTTGTTTTTCTATGATGGTCTTCCATTTCTTATTCTCACCAACACAAACAGGGCATATCGGTTCCAATTATGCCAACTGAAAATGATATTCCCCACTGAGGACACTGCATAACCAATAGGCACTCAACAAGTATATGTGTGTGCGTGTGTGTGTGTCAAAAAAAAATCACATAAGAGACCTACCACATCATCCTTCACAGGGCAAGTAATGCATGACAGCATGTGTATGTATGTATGTGTTGTGGTACCTAAGATTGAACCCAGGGTCTTTGTACTGAGCTACATCTCTTACCCTTTTTTAAAATAAATTTTGAGATAGGGTCTTGTTAATTCATTAAGTTGTCCAAGTTGGAGTTGAATTTGCAATCATCCCTCCTGGGTGATAGGCATGTACCACACTCATTATAATTGATGCTCCAAATGAGAAGAAAATAGTGATGATGATGATGGTTTGAACCAGTCTGGCCGCAGCCTGTTATTTCACTGCAGAACCAGGAGACTTGTATTTACTAGCAACAGAAAAACTGCCAAGCCTCTCTCTCCACCTTGCAGGGAAAATGAAGCCAAGATAACACCAAGTAGGAGTAAACTACACCGGAACCGTGCAGCTCTCTTTCAGGTAAAATCTATGTTGAGCATAGGATCTGTGATAGGTGGGGATTCATGGTGTCACTGTTGGAGTACTAGATGTGGCTTCTGAAAGGTTACAACCAAAAAAAATGTTGCCCACCACAGCCATGTGCTGCAGGAAGGCTGAGGTCATTCCATGCTTTTGCCACCCAGGTCTGACATACCCGGTGGCTCCTGAGATGCCAGCTGAGACTATGATTAGCAAGCCCCAGGGCACAGCCAGAGAAAGGGCACAGTAATACAGATGCCATAAATCACCTGCAGGCATTTACAGATGCAAGCAAGGACATTGGGTTTCCACGGCTTTTTCATTTTAACTGTGAGTCAAGTCAGTCATGAAATTCAGGGCTGAGATTGTAATGAAAAATTAAGCTTGACTTGCTTCTGTCTGTGCCTCACTCCTTTTTATATTCTCAATCACCTTGGAAACAAGCTGACCAGACAAATAAACCATAAAGGTGACCCAGGATCACATCACAAGGCATTAAAGAGCACTCTGGAGGAAGAGGAGAGGGAAAAAAATCCAGTTGCCATCATCTGTGACGAGCTGCAGGGACTTGAAGGAAGTCATCACTACCATTTCTGTCCTGAATTTAATTTTGTCAGCTTGCTAATTTCTAATTTATTTGGAAAAGTTATGATGGTGCAGTGAAATTGCAAAAATGCCATCCCTTCATAAAGAATGTAATTTCTTAAAGAGATTCAATTGCTTCCCATTTATCATTTGGTGTCATGTTATGTGTACTTCAGGAGTAGACACAGGGCCTGAGAGCACTTTGGCAACTTCTCCCCTGGGTCCACGCTGCCCTATGATTTCTTTAAGAATTCAACACAGGAAACTGTTGGAAATTTTACTATTACATATGGCAGGTTCTTGGGGTATGTGAGGCATGTAATCAGCCTAACATTCCTTTGGGACCCTACACAATAAAATTCTAAAGCTAAAAGTACATGATATGGAGGAAGAACATGGCGGACAGATAGCAGCAGCTACGGAGGCTCTCCAAGAAACCCAGCTTAGAATCCAGGAATGGTGTGGAGGGAGGAATCCTAAGCAAGAGAAGATACACCCTGCTGACCCAAGAACGAACTGGGCTGAGAGAAACCAACTGGGAATGCAATCTCAGTGCTATAACAGGAACAGATAAAGCCTCAGAGTGGAAGCTGGAGCCTGCGCCATTGGAAGCCATGATTTGGGTTTCCTGCCATCGCTGCAGCATCTGAATCGGCTCCGCAGGGAGAGAGATGCATGAAAGCTCTGAGAACAGGAATCGGTCAACGGAGTTGAGAGCAGGCACGGGTGGGGAGCCATGCATTGACCTGCGGTGAGTGAGGGAAACTGGGATTCTTCCACGGTCTAGGAGGCTCCAACAAAGGACATTCTGGGACCAGGCAGACTTGCTGGAACAGGGAGCTATAGTGACTTCAGTCACATATCCCCCTCTCAAGCGGGATTGGTAAGCAGTGCCTAGCCTACGTGACGCTGCTGGCGGAGACCCAGTAGGCTAGCACAACCCAGGTCCCAGCGCCTGGAGGTGCACCCTAGCAGTGAAGCCTTTGGTAGGTTGACCTGAAGGGGCGGGCTCCGCATAGGCTGCCCAGTCTGTAACTCCCTGGTGTGTTGCAGTGGGCGGGAACACCTAGCTGGCGCAATTCAAACAGACTGTGGCCGACAGGGAAGGAAGCTGGGCCTCTTATATACACTTGCATATATAAGGAACAAAGAATATGGGAAAAGGGAGCAACAAAAAAGGCTCCTCGGCCCCCAATCCTGAGAAACAGGCAATAGCAGACACAGCACCAATAGAAGGCGCTATCTCCAGAGCCTCATAGATGAGTTCAGGAATGAAGTTATTAACGACCTGAAGCAAGACATAAGCAGAATAGTTAGAGAAACACTAAGCACCACGCAAGAAAGAACAGATGGTGGAATGGAAGAACAGAAAAAGAGGGGAGAATTGTTTGATGGAGAAAATAGAGAAAACATAGAATACATGAAGCAGGTTCAAAGAGATTACCAGGAAACTAAAAACTCTAGTGAAAACTGGCATAACAGCTTGAAAGAAACTAAGGATAGATTATCTGAACTGGAGGACAGATTTGTAATGTGGGAGCATGAAATGAAAAGCTTCTTAAAAATAACAAAGAAACAAACATCAATAATACAAAGACTAGAAGATGATAGGAAGGTCTATAACTTAAGAATTAAGAACATAAAAGAAGAGGTAGGGACACAAACAAATGAACTACAAAAGCTACTTGCAGAAATAATCCAGGAGAATTTTCCTAATTTAGCAAAAGGTAAAGATACTCAGATGTATGACACATATAGGACCCCAGCCACCTACAACCCAAACAGAGCTACACCCAGGCATATAATAATCAAAATTCCAGAAATCCAATATAAGAACAGGATATTAAAAGCCATCAGAGACAAAAAACAGATCACTTATAAGGGAACACCCATCAGAATCACAACAGACTTCTCGGCACAAACCATCAAATCACGAAGAGCGTGGGGGGAAATAATTCAAGCTTTGAAAGATAATAACCTCCAGCCAAGACTGATATATCCTGCACAACTATCCCTGGAAATTGATGGAAAAACAAGGTGCTTCCAGGATAAAGAGGAACTAGGGGAATATGCAACCACCAATTCAACTCTACAGAGAATACTGCAGGATATTCTAAAAAAGAAAAATATGAAGAATCCAGAAATAGTGGCAGAGAGGCCACAATGAATGGAGCAGAAAACAAAATGAAGAAGACAAACTGACAACTAATGACAGAAAAAGAGCTCAACAGAAATGAGACAGAGAAGATTGGATGATAGGAACAGTTATTTTGGAGAAAACGACATCATAATAGGCAATGCTGATTTAGTATCATCTTGTTTTGAAGTCCCATCAAGCTTTTGTTCTTCTGTCTC